GAAAAGCAAAATATGTATAATACATCCTTTTTCTATTAAATTTATCTTTGATTCCATGGCTTTAACTTTATTGAAGTACTTTTAAATTCTTTAGTAGTATTTCATTGGAAATGTAATTCCACTGAAGTAATTATTGGCTAGTGTATCTGCAGAAATGAGATAAATATGGTATGAGTGTGAAGGTTTTGCTTGCATTGTCCTTAAACTGGAATGGTCATGGTCAATAGCACTGTGGAATGCCACACAGTTTGCCTTCTGTCAAGGGAATAAGAGCAAACAGTTGAAACATATGATGAACTACATATTCAAGTGCTGGAGATGTAAGGAAAAGAGTATTTGTTTCATTTAGGCAAGAAGGGGAGAGAATGCAGGGCTATATTGATTTTTTTGGTGGTTTTGCTTTCAAAATTAAAATGGTAACCATTGTCAAACTCTTAAGCACAATAATTTTGCAAATACCTTTATTGGTTGAAAATTTTATGTTTTTATCCCAGCACAATTATATTTGAAGAGGGTAAGTCCAGGTAATATCCTGTAAGTATTAAATAAAGTAGTTGTTAAAAAGATCAATATTTCTGCTAGGTCAGGACAAACTGGTAGCTGGTGGTTCAAAATATTTAACACCTTATATTTTGTAAGCTCACTGCAGAGACTAGTGTTAATATTTATGTGAAGTAAAATCAGATTTGCTGTTGCATTGGCCATTGTGATTGTTTAAATACCTTTTATTTGAGTGTAAAGAAGCATTTTTTTATTTATGCGTCATAGCCCTGCCAAGCAAACTGTTAACTGCAGTTCTGATTTCTCTGGTTTGTGGTATTTAACAAGAACAAAACTCAGCTTTAGGATTGATTCCCTTAATCTTAAGTCTGACTTGTAATGGTGTATTTTTGTTGAGAATATGTAACTTACGAAAATAGCTCATGCTCATATTTGCGAATAGGGCAAACTCATTCCTCGGTACCTAAGGTCTCTGGAGTCAAAGGTGTTACTTTTTCTGTCCTAGCATGGTAAATTAAGCAAGGCATAAGAGAAACTGTATGGAAGGGGAGAGAATGAAGCAGAAAAGTTACAGAGGCCAGGGGTCACATGGGTGAATCATGGAATGTCCTGAGTTGGAAGGGACCCACAAGGATCATCAAGTCCAACTCCTGTCCCTGCATAGGACAACCCATCCTATGTCTGAGGGCGTTGTCCAAATGCTTCTTAAATATTGTCAGGCTTGGCACTGTGACTACCTGCTGAGGGAGCCTGTTCCAGTGCTCCACCACCCTCTGGGTGAAGAACCTTTTCCTAATGTCCAACCTAAACCTCCTCTGGCCTATCTTCCTGCCGTTCCCTCGGCTTCTGTCATTGGTCGTCAGGGAGAAGAGATCAGTGCCTGAATGTCTAATATGGTTCAAAAAAAGGTTCTTTTTTCTTTCCTTTTAGCAACTATTGAATGTCTTTGGTTTCATGGCAGAAGTGAGACTTACTAGAATAAGATTTAACTGAGGGGATGCTTTTTTCCTCTTTGAATATGTGAAAAAATTGTTCCAAGGTCAGATCTTATCACTTTCAATAGTAAGACGCTGTATTTAACTGACGGACTGAAAACCACTGATGATAGAGAAGCGCTGCTCTTTTCTAACTGTTTAGATTGAAGTGGAAACACTATTTTGTTCTGAACTTTTTTGTCTTTATTAATTGTGACCCAGCCTGTGTGAGGTTGATTGTAGCAGAATAAATTAGGGTTTACATTTGGTTAAAAAACCTGTGGTACTGCAGGAAGGAGGGTGTTAATGATTCATTAAATGTTATGTTTCTGGTTTAGTTAGAAAATAAGGACAACAGTATGATTTTTTAGGTTCCATGAAGTTTTAAAATGTTTTGAGTATGGTTTCAGCACTAGTGTTTTGTATGATTAACAGGCACTGAAATAAGTTTTATTTATTTTGAAGCCTGGAGAACGTTTCAGCCATGTACTATATAGCCTTTTGGAAGATAACTGTACTATAGAGAGAAATAATCTTGTGATACACGTTGGCTTTAATGCTGATATATTGGGTCTCAAAATTACTTTTACTGAAGGGACTTGGGAGTTTGGATTTGAGGCATGTTTACCCTGGGCAAGTAGAAGCAATTATAGCAATTTTAAGTAATAGTAACAGAAAATCAAATATCACAATGTTAATTTTGATTCTGGATTCTGTTCCTTGTACTGAGTAGTTCTTTGATATCAGTAGGTCATGAAAACTTTTTAAACCAAAATATCTGCATAATTGTTCACTCACTGTGGATAAGGACTGATAGGCCACCAATATTCAGTGGAAGAAAGGGAGTGACAGAAGGTAGTAAAGAAGAACTACCTAAGCATGTGAGAGAGGTAATAGATTGTTTTGTCCACCTGCAACTGTGATGTGCCTGACTTCAGTGTGGCCACACATCACACCTGAGTGGTCGAAGAGAGCACCATCCCCGGCTGTTGGCCCTGGTCCCACAGCAGGAATCACTGCACCAGGATATGGAGCTGACCTGAACCCCAAATTGTAAAAGTTTACCACCTAGCATGTTAAACTAGTAATTCAGATTTTAATTTACTGTCGTACTTGAGCACTGCATATGGTGATGTTCTCGGAGCTGCTTCACTTCATGTTGCTGTAGAACTGAAAACACTGGGGAGAAAAAGAGTTTGTACCTGCTTGAACCTTCACATTGCACCTACTGTCACAGCTTTCCTGAGGTTCACCCATTAATGTGGAGCTTGCAGAGGTGAATACAGTTTACTGCCAATTTTGCTACTCTAAGCAGAGTATTGGAGTCGCCTTGTGATGTAAGGTTCTGTAATAGTTTTTCACTAATCAAATACGGAGGTGTGGTATAAAAATATTCAGTTATTTTGATCCTTCTTTTATCCTAAGCAGCCTTTTGTAGTATCTGTGTAGTTGGAGTGCAGTTCTTGGTGGGCTGAGTTGTAGCTGTGTGTACTCTGTTTCATCAACTCTGTTAAAGTCAGGAATGCAGAGGATGAAAAGCATGCAACTAGGAACTGCAGTATGAAAAGTGTGTGTTAAATGAGTTACTTAACATCACATAAGAACATGGCAAAAGCACAGATACAATTCTTTCCTTCAGAGCAGCATTGGGCTACCTAAGTCACAAGCCAAGCTGCTTCATTGTGCTCTGTTCTGAGTTATTCATAACACGCCTCTTTATCTATGAAGCAATGGTCAGTCAAAGAATGTTTTAAGGTGCTGTCTCCTTCAGCGTATAACCTCAAGAGCTGCCTGCTCTGTACATGGAAATTGGTGGGGTTGTTGTAAGAAGCCGTACATGACTTTTTAATTGTAGTAAATATGAAGAAAATGGTTGAGTTGTGGTGGCATAGGAACTGTCCAGTCTAGTGAACATCAACTTTTCTGAATTCTTCATTGCTGTATTACAGTTTAGGCAGACTAGTAATTATTTTCTCTTACTTAATATAGGTGCATTTCCTGTTGCAATTTTATGCAGTTTCCTCTAGGATTGGTGCCTGCTTTGTTCTTCTTTTAAATGAAATAAAAGATTGATTTTATGTTGACTATGTTGGATATTTTAGCTGGTTTTTTTTCCCTACACCCCATACTTACATGCGCTCCTGACATTTGTGAAAGAAAGGTAGGAGTGCGGACAGGGGAAACCCGCACTTTGCTCTCCTGAGTCACATGATCAGCGAGTTCATGATTTGGAGCGATACTGTAAAGCACACCTACCCTAGACGGGCTGTTGGCTTCTTGGTCATAAGCCCTCATCCTCTGCAAATTAATCTTTTACAGCACCCTTGCTTCCAGCTACAGTCAAGATAAGTTTACAGAATATTAGAAATTAGAACTGTCATGTTGAATGTCTTGAGATGGCGAAATCACTGAGCCAGCGATGTGGATTTGCAAGATTTGTTCAGCTAATGCTTTTCTCCAGTTCTGCATTCATAATTTTTGAAAAATTAAAAGGTAGTTTAACTTTCTCCAAACAGAATTGTTTCTAAGGCTTACCACACTGGTTTTACTTTGCTGTGTGGATTTTAAACAAGAGGTAACACATAGTAGGTACTGACTTCTTTCTTCTAATGCCTGCTACCTCACAAATCTGCTTTATGCAAAAGCTCAGAGTTACTCTTTCATATCTTCATAAAGAGGAAAGAGTGATTGGGAGGTAGAAAAGTAATGCTAGATACGTATTTCCCCCCCCCGCCCCCTTGAATTGTGGGTGTTTTTTTACGAGCTCACATGCAGAGAACTGCCTCTTGACCTATATGAAGTCTGAAGTATGTTTACTAGTGAAATAATATAACCCAAATTTCTTTGAACTATCACATCAGTAATTAATTGTATATCTTGTGACACTGGCAAGATGAGAACTCGGTGCCAAGCTGTGATGAAGTTATACATTTTCAGTTAATTTTAGTCTCTCCATTTAAATGCGTAATACTGCATTTCTCTTGGCCAGAATTTGGATAGTTGGAATGGTTCCTATTGAACTGCGTATTCTTTCTTCTAAGAGTTGCAGGTGGTGAGGAGAAGAGGGAGTAAGTGATACTAAGTTTTAAAAGCTCGAGTATTTTGAAAATCCTGATCTTAGCAGTTTGCATTTGACTTTGACATAATATGCAAAATGCAGCAATCTAAATGTGGTACTTTTTAAAAATAAGATCACTTTTCTAACTTGGTGTTTTGAGGCAACCCTCAATAGTGTTTGAATTGCCATTTGAGATATGAAGCAATAATATATTTCATGTTTCATTGCTTGCAGAGGAGGAAGAAGCTGTGCCTCAGGAATTTGACTTCATCCCCCAAAACATCTGATGCTTATCTTGCATGTGAATTTTTGTAAAAATTATATGGATAGATACATAAAATGTACTTAATGTAGCTATCAAATTTTATATTAAAAATGTGTATCATAAGTACAACATCTTATTTATTTCACTATTTATAAGCACATACATTAAAGTGCAAACAATGTTTTCATTTATTACTTTTCAGGGGATATAATTTTCAATGCTCACTATCCTGACCTGCCACCAGATTTTATCTTTGGAGAGGATGCTGAATTTTTGCCAGATCCTTCTGCCTTGCATGTGAGTACTTCACTGTTTGAGAACCTTGTACCATGCAAAGAGACTTGGCTTTTTTAGAATAGCTTCAGCAATAGGAATTTGCTAACAATGCAGAATAAAGAAAAAAAAAAAACTTTTCTCTCACTGTTATGTGCATATAAACACTTTGTCTTCTAATGTAATTTAAGTTTGAATCCAGAAATGTAGGGTTCTTAAAAATATTTTAATTGAGATAAGATGACGTTTACAATAACTATTCAGAGTATCTTTAAAAAGATGTCTTTTTAATATCTGACCATCTTAAAAGATCTGTTTCAGCAAAAAGGATTGCTCAATTGTGTCTTTAAAAAGCATTTAGTTCCAGAAAAAGTAGCATAATGTTGTGTAGTGAAGTCAATTTTTGTTTTCCTGTGAGGAAGGATAAAACCAGGTTGTATGTTGTTGAAACCACTGTCTCAAAGAAAGGTATCTGGTCATATGTGGTAGCATTGCCATAAAAACAAAGAAATCTCCATTTAAAAGGTAGGAGGGTCAAAAATTAACTTAATGAGAAAATATTTTTTCACAGTCTTATTACTATGGAAGAAGAAACACCAGAACCTGAAAACAAGCGTTTTGTTCACTATTCAAAATTAGCCTCAAGTAGTAAAGCCTTATTTGAAGAAGCTAACAATGGTTATGCTTTTAAAATACTTCTCCTTCTCAGAAGTTACTAGTAGTTACTAAAGCCATATTAAGGTATTTTGAAACCCAGAGTGTTTTTCTCTTTTACTCTCCCCCTTCCTTTTGGTTCCATTCTGCTGCCTTTGCAGACCTGCAGCCTTGTTCCTGGGTCAACAGTATGATTTTTCAGTAGGGTTTCGGCATATTTTTTCCAATAAGTGTCCAGTGCCTGTGGTTATGGTGCGAAGTTTAGTGGCTGTATCAGAAAAGTATGCTTTTGCCAGAGAGCTCTACTGTAATTCCTGCTCACTCACCCACACAGTAGGTCATAATCTCATTTCTTTTTTTCTCAAAATTTCCAGCTTTTATTAGAAAGTTGACCCAAAAAACAATTAACACTTTAAATATATTTTATTTTATAGGCTACCTGTAAGGGTACATGGGAATCACTGGCCCAAAAAGGCACTTGGGAAATGCCTTTTAATTGAACTTCTCCTGGCATAGAGCCTTGCTAGGGTAGAGGCTCTTTACATGGTCCTCTCCTGCACCCTCTTTCATGCTTTATCAGCATGTCTGCAGTGCAGCTGGGCGATTTCATCAGGTATGGGAGCTCCCAAAAGCAAGTCAGAGGCTGTCATGCTGTACAGTTCAGTTCTGGGGTACAGGTGCCATGGGGGAAGAACGTGAGTCAGTGGCCACAGAACTGAACATGTCCTTCACATGTGATGTGACAGATGTGTTGGGTTTTGGTTTTAGCTTTATTCACTTCATATTGTTATATTGAGAAACAACACAATCTTAAAAGAATTGGTTTTAATAATTATTTTTAGCATACCTAACAATGTTTAAAAGGTGAATGTCTTATTTCTTTGCTTCCATGCTTCCCCCTTTCCTATTAAGCTCACAGACTCCTTTGGGAAGGAGGCATGGTGCTGCTCAATAGCTCTTGGGTTAGGCTCGTTTATAGAAAAGGCTTTATTTTATATGACAATTCTAGAGTTGTTTTCACACTCTTTTATTTAACAGTTCTCCTATTTTCTCCTTTTTCTGTTTTGTTGTTTCACAATCTTAAAACCTCCTGAGAAGTATTCACACTAGCAACCGCTTTCTGCAGTTGATGTTAAAGGAAGAGGAGCACTTTTTAATGTGCTGGAAAGCTGAAATTAATAACAAATAGCAAATGAGATATTAAATAAAGATAATTTGGAGCATCTTGCAGAAATGCTGTTCAGATGGAGTGTGATATGGTGCCATATTTCACATGTGAAAAGAAATCAGTAGCACTAGTGATCCACAGGGAAACCTGCAAGGATAAAAACATCCTTAGTTTTCTTTCTTTCGTACATTGTTCATTAATGATACTACTTTTGGGAGCGTTGCTTTTCTTCTGCGTAAGCACAGAACAAACTTCCCATCCTTTTCATTGGAAAGCGGCTTGAAGAGCCATTTGCTCCTTGATGCATAATGAGAGATTAACCAGCCTATTTTAAAATTAATTAAAAACAAACCAAAAAAGAAATTTGCAAGCCAACAGCTTTCCTTTGGTCATTATGCCTTGCTATAGTATTCACTATGTAAATGTAACCTTTTTTGATGAGGTCCTTGGTTGTTCTCCTGCAGTCCATCCTGATGTTATCAGAGCCTGTTATCTCCATCTATGGTCTATATGGTGTATTTTTGCTTTTGCATTCGCCTTTTACTGTTCAACATGGTTTGCAGAGTTTTTCTTCAGAATGTTACGTTAACAAAAACTTGCTTATTATGTTGAGTATTTGAATAACTCCCTTTTTGCCGCAGATCTCAGATCTGTTTAATGAAGATAATTTTAATTGAATTCTAAGATACTGGCAGAATTTTCTAATGTGTTAACATATCTTTCTACTGACTATAAGTAAAAATAGATTAGCACGTTGAGCATACTTTAATGCTCTTAATCTTGAGCAATCTTCAGATGCGTTCTATGCAACAGTTCCTGGCAATCAAAACGGAATCTACCATTCACAAAAGCACGTAGATGGTATTAAATGAGGAGTGCTGTCTCTAAGTAGTATGTGCCACCAGATCTGTGGGAATTCTGATGTTGAGCCTTCCTGCACTGCACTCTGCCAGAGTGTCTTGTTTTCCAAGCAGAAGTCATCACATGCTGTTACATGGGTTGAATCAGGCGTTATGCTTAGCTTGGAATGAGAACCAGGTACTCCAGATTCCTCAAGCTTGTGTGGCTGTAATAGAGGCTGTCAGTAGACCTCCCTGAAGACATTTAGATGGCTGTGCTGCAGATCGCTTCAGTCACTCCTTCAGTTTCCATGGCCATGGGCAGACCTTCAAGTTAGGTTTTCATCTAAGCGTGGTAACAGGTGTTCAGTTAAGCAGCTGTTAGCCAGACAGCTAAAACAAGATTCCAGAAATACTGCATTTTAAAACATAGATGCTGTAGGTGAAGACTTCATGCTATCTTTTTTCCCAAAGAATCCTAAATGGTTGGGCCTGTGTGTCAGCAGTGGGGTGATATGTTGAGCACTCCTGTTGTTATAAGCAGAGGTAATCAACTGCTTTGTTAGATTGGTATTGCAGTTGCAGAATCAAGTCGAAAATGCTCGTTGAAACTCAGCTTTGCTTTTATGTCTTGCACAAATACTAAAGTCACTTTGGTTTGAAACTCAGGTTGAGTCTCAAGTTCAGCACTGTGAAATATAGGCTTCGTTACATGCCTTACCAGAAGTAGTTACTCTGCTGGTTGCAGGGTCTGATTGTGTGTATTCTGATCTTCTAGAATGATGTAGAGATTGAGGAGCAACTCGACAGAGGGGCAACTGTTCCTTTTATTTTGGTTTGTCATACAGTTTTAATTACAGTCAGATGGCTAAATTCTTTAGGTTGGTGATGCTATTCATGCTCAAAGCGTTATTAGAAATAAACATATTTATTTTTTATTTTCATTAAAAATGTCCTCACCTATAGTATGCATTTGATACTTGTGTGTATAGTATGCATAAATAAAATCAGCTTCTCAGAATGTAAATAGAAAAGTTCTTCCCTGCTCTAGTGTTTATTCATTTTGGATGACAAGTATTAGAAATGTATTTTAAAAACAACCTATGATTCACTCTGTTCTGATTAAAAATTCAGTTGGCACAAGACAAGATTAGCGATTGTGTACGGATGAGATTAATTTGGAGCTCATTACAATGACGCCAGTTTGAGTAACAAGAATTGTTTGTTATGTTAGCCTAGTTGATTATTAATGTGAGCTAGGTAATAACTGAAGTGCTTATGCAAAATGTTAACCCCATTTTTCCCATGATTTTAAAGTATATTCTGTTTGGCAAAGAGGAGACAATAGCAATATATGCAAGCTAGCTGTCAGTTTAAGGATTTGGGATTTTTAGCATCCTATTCCAGGTCTCCAGTGAGTCTCCCCAGAATTATTCTGCCCACCCATTGCTATGGAAAAGACTCCATTAGCCTTAGTAGGGATGGAGGCAAGAGGACATTAGCATTTCTTGAAACCCATTAAGTGTTGAATGTGTCCTTGTGGGCTAGTATGTGTGGGAATACTTAGAGCTGCATTTGCGTGGGAGGAGGGCTTTGCCATCGCAGAACTTCAGAGCATGGGCCACTGTGGTTCTCATGCCAGTACGTAGCATTGGGAAGATTGTTTCCCCTTGTCTAATTGTTAATACTGAGTACAGACTTCAGTCATTGTGGAGTTGATTCAACTAATTGTGCCACTCAAGTGTATTGGCTGTCATGCTCTATATCTTGTGTAGAGCAATGTTTATTTTAAGTTCTTGTAATTGTAGTTATTAGACTCCATATTTATCATTTGGCTATATGATGACTGTCATGAAGGCTGTATTGTTTTCTGTGGCTGTGTTCAAAATCTTAATCATTATAACTGTCGACTTGCTGAGTTAGCTTTTAATGGGTAGTGAAGAGATCCTTTAAATATCTCCCCCTTCTGTAATTCTTCTTCATTTACTATCAGGTGTGTGAGACAGATTTTTAACAGCATCAATTGTTCCTATGCTCACAGTAGCTACAAAAAAAGCCCAAACACCCCTTGTATTAGCTAATGCCATTTGACCTATTTTGTTCTAAAAAGTTTGGCTGTTGTATTGTTGGCAAAGATGCAGGTGTTATGTGTTCTAGTATGAAAGCCCCTACATAAGGGCAATGAGCACAATGGCTTTCAGAATATGACTTTAAAGTTGCGGCAGTAGGTTCTCTGGGAAATGTGTGGGTAAGTTGGAACTATTTTAGCATGACTATCTCTTCTGCTTGCTCTATTTGGGATGGCAGCAGCAGATTTCATTCATGGACCCCTAACCTACCACTCTTGTACTGAAAGCCTTAAA